ATTTTCAATACTAGTACTCACTGTTTAAAAATATTCTCAAATGGATTTTAAATTTCAATATCCAAAGACCACTTTAAATTTCTCTTAACATTGATTTTAGAATAAAAAGAATTTATTATAAAAAAGGTTTGAAGTGTATAATTTAAAAAACGCAAAACAAGATATTGCAAATAATAAATTTATGATATATAAGTATCATAACTTTTGGATTTGTATAAGAATATTCAATCCAGCTGTAAAGAATACATTTCTATACTAAAAAGCAAACCAACATAGAAAAGTGTTTTACTCTTTTCGTTAGAAGCCAATTGCTTACTAATAATATTATTAAATAATAAAATTAAAGGTAAATAGCAAATGAGAGTTCAGATTAAAATATAATTTTTTAAGATATGTTTAAAACAAAAATGGGCGGCGGAGGGGTTAAGACAGTTATTTAATATCTGGTAAGACTTCCAAAGGGATAAAATTCGTACATCGCTAAATTTATATCTATACCTTACCAAAAAACTTTAATTGACTACTTATAGCTATCCTTCGCGAAAATTTATAGCGTACTATATTAAACAGCTCGGAGAGAATACTCGAAATCGAGTATTATCCGTGAAATCGCGTATAATACCCGATATTTGGGTATCGTTGAATCCGCAAAATCGGGTATTCCGTGCAACTTTATATAAAAACAAAAGAATAAAGCAACGGCGCAGTTTATGCCAGTTACTGTTACTTGTACATCAGTATCTTGTGGATTTATTTTTATTTAACTTAATTCATACGGTTGTCAAATAAGTTTAAAATCACACGACAAATACTGCTGGGGTAACAAATAGGACACAATGGCGTTATTATTTTTCAATATAATTTTTAAAAACAAATAACTACACTTCGTTTGTCTTTATTTCCCATTAAAGTATTCCATATACTTAATTTTCTAATTTGTGCACTATTCACAAAATGTGAAACTTTAAAGAAATTAAACGACTAACGCCGTGTTATGAATTTTTACTGAAAAATGTATGGCGTCCCTTTCACGTGAAATATAAATTACATGTATTCCTAACATTTAGAGAGTACAGTATAAGCAAGTCATGATTGTATATCTCTGCCATAATAGAATACCAACGTTATTATAAAGAAGGAAATAAAATAAGATTAAATAAATATCCACGGGAAAACAGGTTGAAAATAACTAATTGAAGGTGAGTATCTTTTTTTATGTCAATTTAGCATGGAAATTTTTATTCAAAGACACCGTAAATTTTTTGATTGCATTTTAATCGATACAAGATATGCTATTTTACCTTTATTTATGCATTTGTGTGAAAATTGATAGCGAGAAGTCATATGAACAGGATTTCCTTCGTTTTTGTTTTTTTTTGGGGGGGGGGATATAAATAAAAGTCAAATGTGTACATCTTTTCATGAGCTTATAATACATTGAATTTCTCAATATAGATCGAGGTACAGTCATATATTGAAATATGAATTACATAGTCAAGTTTTCACATTTCTTATAGTTTTTATGTTAATGAACATGTTAATGAACAAACTGAAATAATGGCGTGTTTAATTGCCTTGGAAACTCTTGTCTTTTTTGGGGGGGAATATAATATCGGACATTAAAATTTCATAAAATTCGTAGCCACTTTCTTTCTTAATTATACTATTTGATGGACAGGGTAAATTTTACCTCTTTACCTTATATATATTTTGTATCGCTATCTTATACCTCATTATAATATGCTATAATATAATATATACAACGCACTATTTGATTGGTTCTAGACAATATGTCACAGTTTTCTTTTAGTTATTCTATCTATGATACTTATTACTCATGGTAATAACATGAATAACTTTTCCTAATACTCATCTATAATGAAAAATTGTGTTAAAAAAAATAAACATGAATTCTAGTTACTTGTAGTCTCATATTGTGTTAGAGAATAACAGGTTGCTTTTTGTTTACCTATATGATTTTTATTTGATGAATAAATCTTCCCTACAATGAAAAATATATAACCGAGTTTAACCAACCGTGACATTCAAAGAGAGGTCTCTTGGACACATGTAGAACACAGTCGAGGTTGTTTCGTCAGAGATGGTCAAGAAGCCTTTAGTCCCCCACCCACCCCCGCCCCTCCCCTTTGAAGTCGCCAAGAAATGCTTAAATATTGATGACGTAGCGAAAGTAAACGATCAACAGTCATGTTCTCTCATAAGCTGTGTTCCTGAAACTATCACTGTCTCTGCTAAAATGTTGAAGACATATTCTGCAAATATTTATGAATGATAAAAAAAAAAAGATGTTCAAAAAAAAAGAGAAAAAGTGTTTTTTTAGCCGAAATTTTAGACATTTTTATCATTACATTATCTATACATTCATAAATAAATTTGATTTTATGCACAAGATGAATGTGAAAGTAATTAATGACGCATAATTAGATACGATAGACAATCCCTTGTTTATACATGACATCATATCTTGTGTGTGAAATGTGTTTCCGTATAATTTGACTAATCTACAAATTGTTCATGTTTGTCGTGTTGATGTGAAATTATTATAAATTCCCGAATTCTGATACTTTACAATTCTTTTGTGTTGGGAATGAACATTAGGAAGATGCATATACTTTCAACATTATGAAAAATATAAAGCAAATCGAACGCCTTTTTGTGTGCAAATCATGAAATGTACTGAGCTCCACGGGTATTTGTTGTCCTGAGCGCATTAATCTTGACGCCCAAATTCTTACTTGGCCAGTGATACCTTTAGAAAACATGTGTATCTAGATGAAAGTTAACTCGGCAACATGCGCCATCCCATCGTTTAAGTTTTATAAGGTGATTACACCTCCTATACCCGATTTCGCGGATTCAACGATACCCTAATATCGGGTATTATACGCGATTTCACGGATAATATCCGATTTCGAGTATTCTCTCCTACCTGTTAAATACTTGATTCACTAATGAAACCGTTATATAGAACTTTTTAAAAGATTTTGAGCCTTGATATATCGTAAATTACTAATCAATGATATATTTTATTAATTAAATGTGTAAATGTACAAGAAATAATTTATTTTAATAACAGCAAAGCAATTGTTAGAATGTTTAAAAAGTAAAATATATCATTCTGAAATTCATAAGAAAAAAAAGGCCCGGGTTCAATTCTCGATCGCGGCACTGCGTCAAACCTAAGACGTAAACATAGGTAGTGACTAATCCTTCGCCAAGCGCTCGGCTCTAGAAGTGAAAGTTACAGGTCTTTCAAATATGACCTTAAAAACGTAGGTCCCGTGTCACGGTAGGCGTTGGCACGAAAAAGAACCCTGACCGCTCAATGGCCCTCAGTGCCGACTAGAGGTCTCAATTTGAAGCCCTTTACCGGCAAATGATGACATCTCCATATGAATGAAAAACTATCAGTATGCAATCAATCAGTCTTTAGTCATTGTGAAAAAAGCTTCGTTCATGTTATTGATAGATTAACACTTGATGCTCCATTTGAAGTATTAAAATAGAATAAAGACTTAGTGCTTTCATTTCTAATTAAAAATTTTCTCATAAAGGTCCAGGTCTGGGAGAACTGGCTTTTTAAAATTGCAATGTTCTTGAATTATATATAATTCAAGAACATTGCAATTTTAAAAAGCCAGTTTTTTATGGACGTAAATAGGTATGTTTGAGTATGTCTTTAAATCCTCAGAAACAGATCTATCATTTACTAGTTGAATACTTTAGATCAGAGGTTGCGCTCTATAACTAGCTGCAATAATGTAGCCCTCTCCGATTTTTTTTATCTGATGTTTTCTGGAGAGGGCTACAATTCCATCGCATCTCCGTAATGGTGCAAATATATTTTTTTGATATGGGTGGTTGGAGGCAAAATAAATTATTTTTACATTAAACTTACTTCTTATAAGACGGAATTTTTATTCACTGTCAACAACATAGCCTGTTAAACTCGAAAACCATGTAAAATAAATCTGTGTCTTTCCCAGCTGCAATATTCAGCAGCCATGACAGTTCACGCGTGACGTAGTGAGACTTTCGCTTGAAATTTGGAACAACCAAATAAAGCAAATGTCGATGTTTATAAACGATTGTGCTATAATATATTACAAAAACATCGATAAATAAAACCATTTCAAGTGTTATTTTTGCGCAAACAGCGATACGTATGCTTAAAATAAGGGAATTCCTAGTAGATCCGCTCCTATAGAACCTAAATTCTCATTGGCTGTCCCAAAATACAATCCATCAAGGTCAGTAAACATGGCGGATAAATTCAAGTTAAGCTGTTGACACACACGAAAAATAACCGCTAATGGGTCGTTGTGAATATTTTTGGATCGAATTATGTTTTGCATAATTACATATTTGGATTCCAGGTAAGAGATAATAATAAAATAGCCGTTTACTGATAATTTGAGCCGAAATCCGTGCGGGAGTGATCCACTGCCGCATCTGCGCCATTATAGAGATCCTAAGGAGTTGTAGCCCTCTCCCCCCCAAAAAAAAAATCGGAAAGGGCTACATTATTGCAGCTACTCTATAACAAATATTGAAAAGAAGTACCTTTAACAATAGGCCGTTTCTGTTGACTTTTTTAGAATATGAGGAAATTGACGCATTTCGTGACGTCACAATGCATTGACAAACCAGAAAATTACGTCATTTTTGATAAATATGCAATCACCAAAGATCTGAGTGATATCCAATGCTTTGTTAACTAAACCTAAGCAGTTTTAGGTTTTCAGAAATTCACAGGGCCAAAAAGGCAAACGTGAACCTTGTTCTTTAATCATTATTTTCTGAGTAGTCATAGCTCTTTGATGTCTTAATTAAGAAACCTTATTAACAATGATCAATTCTTTTTGTTCGAAAGAAATATTTCTTTAAAAAAAAGCTATTTCAATATTACTTTAATTTGTTCTCTTATCTGATTTAACGGTTTTCAAAATGTCTATAAATCGTATAGTAATGTATATAAAATTTGTTGATATTTATTCTTTTGGTTTACAAATAATTACACTTTCTACAGTAATGCAATAATTCACTTTTACACAAATTACTTTGAAAATCGTTAAACACTTGATAGAATGGGAAATTAATTATATTTTCGATAATCTTCCTATATCTGTCCATATTATTCCGTTACATACTGAAATCGCATGACCGTTAATAGCACTTCCTGAAATCATTTTTGAAACAATTTTAGCTTTTTATTAATTAAATTTTTTCAGTTAGGACTTTACAGTTAAAAATATAGACTCTTTTTTTGTTTTTAAATTTTTACCAGAAACAAAAAATTTTCTCCCTTATTTTGATAGCATTATACAATTATCATCTGCGTATGAAGTTTATATCTACATTTGACTTAATATGCTAAACATGATCGACGCACAAACAATTTCTAAAATAGGGCAAGCCATTGACAAAATAAATTGATAGAACAATGGTATCAACAATTTTATTTAAAATCCACATTTTGCAAATAATATGGTCGATGCAAGGATCGTGTAACTAAATACAATCTATCATTAAATCTACTTCATTTAGATAAGTATAAGCAACCATTGTAAATGCTTGTGTGTCTAATCGCTCTATTCTAAATCACTAAATTCAAAAGAGTACTTTTCGTCAGATGCAACCTTCATGTGTCAAGTTTATTTCGTAATCAGAATGTCAATTGTTCCAAACGCGACCGCAATTGCTCCAAGTCGACAAAAATGAGACTTAAAACAACATACAATCTATCGACCAATAATTCAGGTCTTCTAAGAAGTATTGTGTTTTTCATTATTTCTAAAATATTTCGTCCCAGTTCTATGATATGTTGAAACTTAATCCATCATACGGGTTAAGCATTGTCCAGGTCTTTTCTTTATTATCATCTTCCAATGCTTTACATATTTTTAGTCCACCACAAGCCCCTTCTTCGTCCAAAACCATTCGAGACTCTCTTACACTGGCATAATTGTCTTCTTCTAATTCATGGTCTGTATATTCGTTCCCTTCTGTGTCTTCTGTTGCATACATGTAAATAAAAGTATTGTGTGTATCTCATCAAAATTGGTTGCATGATATGCATTTCATACATATGATGTTACTTACCATCTTGTTTAGCCTTTCTTCGTAGAAGTTTCTCTCTGACAAAGATGTAAAAATTATAACATTTAAAAAATATATAACTTTCAATATAAACTACTTTCTTTTGAAATGTGAATTTATTCGATACATTATAAGTTGTGTATTAATTGTTCGTTTGTTCTTTCAATCCCATTAGATATTGTTTCCTGTAAGGTTTTTTTCTCTCGCTGTACCTACCTGTAACTTGATATGATTTTTAGAACAATATGTATATAAATATCCAGTTGAGTTATGAGTTTATTGTGTTCTCATTTTCATATTCATATTCACCTTTCCTTAAGAAAAAGAACTGAGAAAAGAACAGCAACGGATCCTATACTTCCCAATAGCCCTAGTAGGATCCCTGTCCATGGAATCAATATCCTTTCCTTATCCTTTCCATTTTGGCTATTATCTAATGATTAGATAATTTGAAATAAAAATTGAGGATGTAAACACGTATAAATGGCAATCTTCCTAACTATAATCAGAAACTTATCACTTACTAGTACTTTCAATAAAATTTATCTTTATATTATAATCAAAATAAGGCATACTTCTTTCCTGGTTTAAAAACAGTCCAATTTTTAATAATGCTTTTGACGATTTCATGTTTTTCTTTTTATAACTTTTTCATTTTCTTCGGCAAAGATCTTATATGAATGTTTGAAAATCATTATTTCTGATTAAAAACCAAAATATCAATAATTGGATAATTCCTAAATCAAATCCAATTTATAGCACTTCTTATTCATGACTTCCCTTCTATTAATATAAAGGTTGTTAATCTGAAATTACTACTCATTTTCCCTTACAAATCCACAACCGGTTAGTCATACATGTTAATTCTATATTCAATGTTTCTTTTGCTTATTTGTTTGTTTGATTTTAACTTTTCAATCGTCAACCTCCCTTCCTTATATGCAACAATATACCTTTGTCACCTGCATAATGAGTTTAAATATCTAATGAGATAACGAACAGTATTCAAGATCAAAAGTCCATAAAGGTTACAAAATAAGAGCAGAGCAAACACGGACCTCCAAATCATCAGAGGTTGGATCAGGTGCCATGGAAGAATGAGTATCCTGTGCAGACCGGCCACACCCGCCGTGTGCTTCTTGTCATGATCGGGAAATAAGGGGAAAGTGTTTTGTCAACTCAGTATATAAATAATAGACTAACAATTATTATTAAGAACGTCAGTCAGTATAATGACCTTGTCATATTGACAATTATGATGAGAATAACTTAATAGTTAAAATAACTAGATTTAACGGCCTTGTCAGCAAATACAATTTATCACTAAGTCAAATGCTAGATGTCTTTTTTCATACTGATTGTTAGCCCATTATTTTCACACTAAGCTGTGTAAACTAAGGATTTTATGTGGGTGGGGGCGGGAGATGGTAACACTTTTATCATTCAGTTAGTTGACATTAAACTTAATTCTATTCAATCATTATTATTATACAATGTCATTTATGTATATCTAGAAAGTATTTTTTTATTTTCATACTTTAAATCATATTCACATACTGATTGATGTGGTTTCATTGTAACATTCCCCTGTTCTTGCATCACATCTGTCACAAAAACACTTATCTTCGCATTGATTTCCAAAATATCCCTCTGGACATGTATTGCTGCATTCAATTCCAAATGATCCATTGCATGCTAAACAAACAATGCTTCAGTATAAATACTTAATCTTTAGCATTTACATCAAAATAATTATTTCAATTTTTTTTAGTAGGTCAAGACAAATTCATGATGTATTCATGGGATACAAGGAAACAAAAAATTCTCTAAAAACCATGCTTAGGCTAAAAGGAGAAAATATAACTCACGGTGACACTTATCTTTTATTGTTCTATATCCAGCACAACATCGAGTGTGTCCTCTGAAATATATTCTGTTTCATAAAAATATATTTCTTTTTTATTATTATTATCATTTGCAGTATATTTTAAAATGGGTTATATTCCTCAGTATTAAAACAACTACATATCATTTTCTGAAAGATTAAGATGTTTTGAAGTATTTTGTTAGTAAGAAGTAAAATTAAGCACTTACTGTGACTTTGAGCAAAGTGGATCCACTGGCTCTAAATCGTTAGAAGTAATTTTTATCAGCAAAAAAGAAAGCCATGTGAACAATCCAGTGAAATACATTTTTATGTACGTTGATATTATGTATTGTAATTTCCTCATACACACTGGTATATTTGAATACAATATATTATGCAAAGGTCTGACCTCTCCCTATTGTGAACGATATTCAATAAGCCGATCTCATTATACTGGCAAACTCTCACTACGCAGTTTCTCTTTGATTAAAAACTTGGCACACTATTCTATATGTTACGGGGTATGTAGATACTTATAAAGTTGCATCTTTAGTTGTTTTATGTCTTTTTAATTTCTTATGTTCTTTGTTTGATATTGTACTTGTTTTTATATGTTAAGTGCTTTTGATTCATCGAAAATTTTAAAACAAGCACTATTTAAAAGTAGTATTATGATAATAATAATGAAAACAATATGGCTTTGGGAAACACTTATATCTCCTTATGGCAGCTATTGGCGAAGGTTATAGTTCCTCATATGAAAGTCAAACTCCAAAGTCAAGAAATGAAAATTTTAATGTTCTTACCCAATAATTATACTTGTAAAATATGACTTCCAAGCGCTAACTATTCAATGTGAATGGTAAAGATTAAAAATTTTAAAACATGAATCAAACTCTCCAGATCAATGTCAAAGACAAAAAATTTAAGGTACCCAGGGGACGACCGTTTCATAAAAAATGTACATGTGAAACATAAGCGTCATAGCACCAACTTTTAAAAAAGTTATACATGTAAGTTAGGTTTATGGTTTCAAAGTAGAATAAAATTCTGAGGTCAATGTCAAAGGATAGAAATGTTTGTATCCCAACAAAGATCTTGTCACCAGACATACATCTGTGAAAGATAAAGGCTGCAGCACTAACTGTTCAGAAATTATGTCCCAAGTAAAGGTTTTTTTAAGTAGATAAAAGTCAAGGGTATAAGGTTAAAAATACACATGTGTGAATTGTGAAAGATTTGGAGAAAACGAACAGTTTTCAAGATCAAAAGTCAATTAAACAAAACAAAATAGGAGATCCTTGTTTTCTAGAAGTCTAGAAACATTGAGCCATTTCGAAACTTTTACCATTTTTCCTCCAAAAGTAAAAACAAACAATATTTTTCAGCTTAACCTTTAAACTATGAAACTGTTTTGACTGGTCACAACTACAGTGGACCTTATGTATCGATGGCGTAGAGAGGGAGTTTAATATTAGTATAATTTGAAGGGTAGGTACTTTTACAAATGTGCTTAAGTTCAATTTTGTAAGTATATGCATTTTTGGAGAGGGAATAAGATATCAGTTTCCTCGTATATGCAAACTTTTCCCTGTTGTAGACATCTGTTGAGTGCAATCATACATAATATTAATTGCATTTTTAGGAATAAAAATAAACGATATATTCAAAGAGGGCAAACTTTTTCAGGAAGTCACTTTCATATACTCATCTAAATCAAAGTTGTAGAAAATGGATGTTTTCAAGGTTGTTATGATAGTCATCTCTTCGGTGCATAATGCAAAACAGTTAGGGATAATTCCTATAGAACCTAAGTGTATCGATTCTTATCTTTCTTCTGAGTAAGTACATGTAAAAAAAAATTAATAAAGTGTTGAAGGTACATTTCCTATATATATCAATAAATCACATCATAAAATAATAATTTGTATTTTATAAGGAATTTGCGATGTTGTACCTCGTATAGAACAATTGGAGGAAAATGTTACCGTAAGTTGTACTTTTACTAAAATTATGCATTCAATACGTTGTTTAAGGTATCTTGAAGAAACTTGTACATAACAGCTATAAAATGACAATCTTTGTTTAAGTTTTGAGACACACACGACTAAAGTTATTTTAACTTATACAATTATTCATTACCAAGAGTCGTCCGAATGGCGCAGTGGTTAGAGCGCCGGTTCTAGAGTCGTGAAGTAAGGAGTTGATCCTTGCGTCGCGGATTGGAATCCCACTGTGGACGTGGAGACCGGTCCTTTAATAGTTGAGGTCCCGTGTCGCAGAAGGTGCTAGAATGAAAAAGATTCCTCCCTGCTCAATGGCCCTGAGTGCCGGGCATAGGACAAAGTTTGCAGCTCTCCATCGACATATGTGAAAAAATCTCGAGAGAAACATTACACAATATACAATCAGTCATTGAATCTTTCGTATCTGTGCTTTTCAATCTTACTAAATGAAATGTACTGTCTTATTCCATATACCTGGTGAATAAGAATGAAATGGTCTTTATTTGGCTTTTATTAAGCATGCATAGGGTCATTTGGATTGGAATGCAGCAAACCGTGTCCTAAAGGATATTATGGCCTTAAATGTCAAGAAAAATGTGAGTGTGACAGGTGCAATGCTACAACAGGAAACTGTTTTCATGAGAAAAATTCATCAAGTAAGTACCTCATGTAATATAAATAAACATTTTAGTACAATATCTGCTGAGGATTTTTATTCAGCAACACAATAATGTTTTTCTTTACCAGTTTGAATATAAGATGAACCATATCCAATCTCATTTTGGTATATTCTTGTGGCATAATTAAGGGTCTAAAAGCAAAACTCTTGGGCGACAGAATAAAATAAAACCATTTCCTTAAATTGAAATTGATATCATTAATAGTACTTATGTTGATACATATGTAATTTAATAAACTAACATTCTAAACATTATGTTGATTTTTCTTACAACTTTCTTTTCCAGGTAATGTAAGAGGTACAAGTATAGAGCAGAATTTATTACTCAGTAAAAGATATTAATAAAATGACACCGTGACGCACATAGGGGTAAATTGACAAACGTTGAACTTTTAAATGGCCCTAGTAAATTTTGTTCGATTTCTAAAAGTATCAGGTTTCAGAAAATTACAGGTTTCAGAACCTAAAAGGTCTATATTTACGGAGAAAAATAAAAGTAAAAATAATTTCAGTATGCCCTTCAACGAAAATATTGCATTACTTCTTCCTCCCTATTGTACGCGTGCGCAAAAAAAATGAATAAGTTACTATAATAACCATGGTCTCAAGAACCCAGGAATGAATGAATGTAGACCAACAATTTTGATGCAATCTTTTCAAAAAGTTGTTCGAACCTACTTCTCATCCTTGCATGCTCCAATTGAATGTTGTTTACAAGTTTTAGCTAAAAATAAAAGTGGCGTGACCTTGACATACACGAAAACAACGAAAGGTAGATGAAAACTTTTTTGCGGTGTAAAGACGAATAATGACCCCCATCGAATAATGACCGGGGGTCATTTTTCGACAGCGAAAAATGACCCCCGGTCAATATTCTACGGCGAAAAATGACCCCCGGTCATTATTCGACGTAGAAAAATGACCCTTTTGCCCGTAGAAAAAGTGTCACCACCCTAAAAATTTGCAGAACCCACGTGAAGAAAAATGACCCCCGTAGAAAATTGACTCCCTGTGGATTCAAGCTGAATTTTTTAGGGGGCAAAAAAAAAAATAGATAAAGACGCATATTGGCCAAAATGCTCACCTGAGCTAATTGGGAATAAATTGAGGATATGTTGATCTCATATTATACAATTATAGCTATAATTTTAGGTTAACGCGATGATTCAGAATCTAAAGGATTAAAAGATTTATCGAACCTAAAGGGTTAGGTAAACATTGTTTTTCGATGGTGGAAATCATCGTACTGTCAGAAAAAATCAGCAGTATTATATATTATTATATCCTCCGTTGGAAAAGCGGGAGAGTATATAGTGATCGGAATGTCCGTCCGTTCGTCTGTTACGCATTGGGGTATCCATCTCTTATCCGCAACTCCTCTTACATATAAAAAGATGCGTTTGTGAAACAGCTATGCCCCTGTATGGCAACATAGCGAAGATTAAACTTTTCTTAAATATAAATTAAATATATTGGTACCCACAAAGAATAGGGTCTTCTCACAAGAAATAATTTTAATACAATTGCAAAATAGGAAAGCCCAAGCACCACTTGTTCAAAAGTAATGGTTTAGGATAAGTTTCTGAAAGGTAGGTCATATTCAAGGGTCAAAGGGTCAAAGTTGATGGTTTCTTAAGTAAGGTTTAATGTAACAAGGATTATATATAACTCATTCTTCAATACTGGTGATATTTTAAAAAATATTTCTTTTCTCATTTATTTTCCAATAAATATTATGTAAGCAGACGTTAATAATGAAACTGATCATTTTAAAAAAAATAGCTTTTTGGTCACACATCTAAATTCAGTTCTGAAAAATGAGTTATATGTGAAGTATGAAAACCCCATAGCCCTTACTGTTCAAAAGTTATGGACAAGGTTAAAGTTTTTTTTTCATAAGTACGGAAATCTCCAAGGTCAAAGTCAAAAAGTCAAAGTTTTTAGTATCCAATGAAAGGTCGTCATGCCAAGAAAAATACATATGTGAAGTATGAGAGTACTAATATCTACCGTTTAAAAGTTATGACCAAAGTAAATATTTGGCATTTTTGTGTAAAATGGGATAAACTCAAAGGTAAAGGTCAAAAGGTCAAATTTGGTGGTACCCAAAGTAAGGTCTTCTCACAAGGAATACACATATTAAATATGAAAGTCATAGCTCCAATAAATGAAAAGTTATGGTCAAGGTTAAAGTTTTTGCGGACAAACAGACCGCCAGATAGACAGACAGTTATACAGACAGACACAATAAAACTATATCCCCCCGAATCTTCAATTACGGGGACATAAAAAGAAATGGTTTTCAATTAACTTTTCATATTATGATACAGCATAACGAAGACATTACAAAATTGAAAATTTTTGTTCTGATTTTCATATTAAATTCTCTGAAAAATATACTCAGAACTAAGTAAAAGGGTGGAGTAAAACAAGAATTAAGATATGTAATTGATACTGTGTCCTAAATCAAAAGGTTATGTCTACATGTATAGTTTTTTGCATTAGAATGTGTATTTTACATTAGCCCATAGCTTTACAGAGCATATTTTAGGTGATATAACCACCCAACCCCCTTACTTATTTAGGAGGAAGTCGATTATCAATAAAAGCAACAAAAAATACCCTAAGGGGCTACCTTTATTTTTCTATAAGGAGGGAGTAAAAATAAGCTTAAAATAATCTAGTACTCTACTAATTTTCAACTGTTACTTTGCCACAATACTTTCAAGTATACCCCCACCAATATTTAACGTATGCTTTAATCATGGCGAAGTAAATTATGATATGATAGTACTTGTGTGAAGGCTTAACTTCATTTCAATATTTTTTCTAGAGCCTCTTTCAGTATTATTGAAAGGTATGGAGTTTTGTTTATATTTTTGCTTTTCATTTTTTTTTTTGATTTAAAGTTTTTTTTGGGGGGGGGGTAAAAATTTCCTCCTCTTTCATTGTCAAATAGGATTTGCCAAACTTATACAAGCTAAAAGTTGAAATGAAGGAAAAATTAATTTTTCCTATTAATGAGTATTTAAACCTGATTGTTGCATGGTTTGATTTCTAAAAAGAAGTGGAATATCATTCTTTAAGCAAACATTATAAGGAGGAATATTAAAAAGAAATTTTATTTGCTTGACAATTAAAGAATCTCTTTTCAAACACAATTTTAGCATTGAAAGACTACGTGAATCTCTTAATTGTTTCATACGAGTTTTTGTATTTTTCTGGTTATAGAAAATGTAAAAATTAGTTTCACCTGTCATCAATTTCGTATCACTTTAAAGGGGGTCATTTTTCAATGGGGGTCAATTTTTTATAGGAGTAACATATCAAATAATGACCCCTAGGACTCTTTTTCTACAAAAAATGATTTTTTTTCTATGGGTGGGGGTCATTTTTTGTCGTTGAAAAATGACCCCACGGTCATTATTCGATGGGGGTCATTATTTGTCTTTACACCGGCACTTATATTGTGCAGTCTTTTGTTGCTTTACAATACAGTTTGATTTTCATATCTTCTCTATATACTCATAACAAGTCTTTCTCTATATGCCACAGATATCTTAAAAGAAACACATGATTTTAACTCATTGTGTTACTTTAAGTTAAAAAAAAATGTGTAAAAATGATCAAGATATATACACATGTAGTTTCAAGATAAACACATTGAAATGAAGGAAAACCTTTTTGAAACAGAATATTTTTCTTTCTTAATTTATAAGAAAATTAAGAATAACTATGGCTTCAAAATTATATTTGCTCACATATGATTAATATATATATATGATTATGTTCTTGCTAATTTCTATTTTACTAGGAATTTCGGTGGCTTCCTTGGCCTTCTTTACGACTGGCAGTGTTTTCTTTGTTGCAGCACTAATAACTTGTCTCTACGTAAAAAGGTATATAAAATTATCGCATTTTCAACTGTTATATCATATATAATGAAATAATACACTACAAGAAATCACCTCTTTTATTCGTGATAAGGAAGAAAAAATATTTTTTAAAAATTTCAAAAATCAGGGGGAAAAGTATTTATCTCAGAAAAGTGTAACTCAAATGATTAATTTTAAATTTATTAAGATAAGTGTGACAACATAGAGAATATATAATAATATAATATTTAAATATATCATTCATGTATAGTTATTAATTTAAGAGAAATATTTAGTTTAGTTTTAAAACTTCTTAAATGCAAAGCTTATAATTTTATCACAGAGAATTTTCCAGGAAAAAGTACGGTAAATATGTACTAGATAGCCGTTCCCTTGGTGAATCAGCTTCTCAAATCTATACTAGAATGGAAGAAAACGTGTATCAGGAATGTGAGCAGTTGTCAATTATCTATAATGATTCAACTAATTCGAGTTACCTCAGTCAATATGACAGATCTCATCTACTCGAAGGAATAAAAGAAAACAATGCGAAACCATCCATACTGTCTCTCCTGAAGAGGAAAAATAAATGTTCTGGGAAAACGGCAAAGCCAGGATATATATACGTAATTGGATCACAAGAAAACATTCCAGAAGTGGCTTCAGGATCTGGAGAAGCACCACTCCGTTTACAAATAACAGCAGAACCACCCCTTCAACCAATGCGTCCTCTTCCATTACCAAGTTCACACATTGCAAGAGCAACAGTCCATACATAATACTACTATTGGACTTTTGCGAGAAGCACTGACTTTTACAGCTGACACTTTGACATTTAAACCTGTGTCATGTATGGAGGTACATAATTGATAATGTTTAGATAAATAGTGATATCTTAAAAGAGCTTCCGAACATAGTCCGAGTGTAAAGATAAACCGTCAATTGTAAAAGTCAGCGGTCCTCGCAAAAGTACATTACCGCCACCCGGCACCATCCAAAACAGATATTGAAAAACATCTATGACACATATGAAGCTCTCTGGTGATTTTTAAAAGAAAAAATATGATGAAAAAATAAATTTTAAAAAACCCTTTCTTTTAATGTTTCAATTTAATTTAATGCCATTTTCATCAGTATTTTTGTTTTGTTTTTTATAAGAACAAACGTATTTTCACAAATTAAAGTGTAATATTGTATATTAAATTAGTAACTCAATACTATCCAGCGGTTCAAAGGTGAGGTGAATATTGTACGTGTATGTACTACTTAATTATCATATTTGCTGGTATATCAGCAATATTTTTAACATATAAAGGATATGAAGATAACGGACAGTATTCAATATCAAAGTCCAGAAAACAATATAAAATACTGCAGTAGGAGCAGAGCAAACACGGACCTCCAAAACATAGGAGGTGGGATCAGGTGCCATTGAAAAGTGAGCATCACCTGCTGACCGGTCACTCCCGCCTTGTGCTCCTTGTCATATTTGGGAAATAACGGAAAAATCCGTAGTCAATTCAGTGTATAAATGATGGCCTAACATTTAGCATGAAAAACGTCAGTCAGCATATGACTCAGTGATAAATTGTAATTGCTGACAAGGTCATTGTATCGACCAAAGAACTTACGAAATGATGACTTTAAACGAGACTGCCGATATTCTTGTTTCATCAACTTGTTTGTCAATAATTTACCTCGTTTTAAAAATTGTTCATACGTAGAGCATGTGCTTGCGTATCAAATCACTGAGATATACGAGGACTGTTCAATAAATAATGTCCTCGGTGCTCAGAAAGAAGCAAAAGACGCTTTTCAATGATTTATTCTTCATGATTTTACTAATTAATCTCTTTTAAGTAAAATACATGTCCGTAACATTTTTTATCCAATTTCTGATCGTTTTTATAACTCATTTTTGGGTATAACCCTTAGTATACTGGAAAATGGCAGATCCAGTGATTTCCCGGACTTATTTCTTCCTTCTGAAAGGAGTTTTTTTCAAGTTTGGAAATAGAAACAAGCCAAAAGGTCAAAGATCTGGCGAATATTGTTAATGTGAAAAAACATTAACTTTCTGTTTATCCCGAAAACCCCTTTACGCTTTAGGGCATGCGGATTTGGACGCTGTCTTGAAGGAATTCAATGTAGTGGATTCCTGATTCTGGGTCCTTCTTCTAATAAACCTTTTGATTTCTTGGCCAAAAAAGTGCTTTCTAGACTCCTCCAGAAATTAAACTGTTTCCCCGAATACGATTTTGAACAGCAATACCACTAATGTTTAAGAAAATTACATATAAATCTGTCTTTGTGCTCTTGCATACCTGTCCACTTGTCAGACATTCGCCGTTTTTATCAAGTACATCTTATGGTAAATTTTGTTTTTAGGGTTTTAAGCAATAGATTCATGTTCCAATATCTGTTTGAAAATAAAACAAACTTGGATAACTACAATTACTGATATTTTAAAATAATTGTTAAGAATTTCGTACACGCTGTCGTTTTCACTCATTTTTCAAAATATAGGGTGACCTTTGAGTATCAAGCTTTTTTTACCGTCAAACGTTTCTTAAATACAGTGTAAACTACCCCCGATGTGATGTCTATCAAATTTGTTATGTGTCTTAAAGTCAATCATACATCATCAAATATTATTTGTTGAAATTTGGCGAACAGTTCATAATTTGTTATAATTTTTGTTGGCAAGGAGGGTACCCATTTTTGATGCCCATTATATAATTTTTTATCATTGAAATCCACCTGCTCTTTTGTCTATAAAACAGGCATTGGTTGCTGTAAATGTCACATATTTCAGTGAATATTTCTTTGGGATTTTTAACAAGTTTTACGGCAGCTTTCACGAAGCTTTTATTTTCACTCTAGTTTACTGATTCTTTACCATTCATTTATAATGCAGTGTCTCGAAAAGCCCTTGTTTCCCAGCTTCTCACGATGAAACTATGTGATCAAAAGTGGTCACATCAACTGTTTTAAATTCATGAAAGATTCAACAATGAGAGAAAGGCAAGTTTAATGGCATATGATATCTGTAATGTATGTCATATAGTTCAGGACATTATTTATTGAACAGCCCTCGTATATAAACGCCGTATGCAGGTGATGCAGGTATATTGATGCAAAATTAAAAGGAAGTTGACGATAGAAAAGTTAAAGTTATCACGTTTATCAAAGAGCTTTTTCAAATAAAATATTCTAATATGAAACAGATGTGTCAGACTTTGAGGTATCTTTTATCTCAAGCTCACCAGGATATATTATATCGACATAGGAATGGGAATTACCATTGTTAACTGACAATACGTCGTCGATATATACAAATGTTAAGCTGAAGGACACAGCAAGTGTTTCTCCTTTTCAAGTATAAGATTTTGCATAAATTCTGCTTCATAATGAATTCAAAAATAGGTCTGCTAATAACGGAGCGCAATTGGTACCCTTGGGAATTCCGATAGATTGTTTGAAGACCTGGTCCCACAAAACCACACAGATATTGTTAACCAGAAACTAAAGCATCTTTTTGATGTCAACTTCAGAGTACTTGTGTGTGTAATCAGAATGTGTTTTAACAATATAATTTTGCAAATAAGCAAGTCAGTAAATTTACGAGTTCCATTTTATTGAAAAAGCAGCTGTCAATGATATCAAAAAGCCTGGACTTTAATTTATCGGGGAATGGTTGTGTATAAAGTTGAAAAGTCATAAGTTTTTAAGCTGAAGATTTTTTTTAAAAATCTTGTGATTTCAAATTGTCCAAAAGTTATTTGGAATTTTTGAGTATCCACACTATTGTTAATATCTTAGTGAGGAGTAAAGAAAAAGGCTTGGTTGAGCATTTACTGGAACTGGCAGTGTTTGTAAGGATTCTTATGAAGTTTCGGACTCCAATATATATATATATATATATATATATATATATATATATATATATATATATATATATATATATATATATATATATATATATATATATATATATATATATATATATATATATATATATATATGTAGATCAAAATCATTTTGGTTCTTCGGGATATTAAAAATATTCAAAACTGAGATATGATTTTGAAAAATTTCTTCCTTAGAAAGGGAACAATGAGTATACATGTAAGTTGGATTACCACTTGTAGAATTAAATCTAAGTTCTTCTAAAATATATTTGATTCAATGATACGAAAATAAAAAAATGTAAACCAATCCATGTCATCTTATTTGTTTACGTTTGCTGAAATTTTAAAATATATTTTAGGTGCGACGTAAAAAAAAATATTAGGTATACCGCTTATAGGATCTACAACCTGAGAGGGAGACTCGCATACATTAAATGCTAATTACAATGATATCGTATTTCTGAAAGTCATTCCACTTTCTGTAATTGTTAAAATTGCACATCCACAAGGAAAGCATGCCTAATTTAAAAAGATACAATTTTATGTCTCATAAAATGTTTTATATACAATCTTTTTTACATTGTTTTTGACAAATTTAGATTAAAATTGCAGTTGTTATTGTTTTTAATGTAAAAAGAATGGGGTCGACTGGATCGGGATCGAACTCATGTTTGGATCGGGTTCGGCTTGATCGGGATCGAGTGCTCAATTAATTTAATTTTGCGGAAACATGAGGTTGCAATCAATTTACCGCCACCTCCCATCCTCCTCCCATTTAATACCAATATTGAAGTTTTGTTGTATGGAATTTTTCCTAATTGTATAACATCAAGCATCTACCATGCCGTGTGGCCTCTTTGTTTACGCCACCTTCTTGTTGTACAAACTTGGTAATCATTATATAACAATAGCTGGGATAAGCACTAAGTTGCAATATATCATATCTAAGTTGAAACTAATCATTATTTGGCCTTATCCCAGCTATAATTTACATGATTGTATGTAATATTGTATATTTATGTGTTTTTGTTCACTCTCGTCATTTATCTGGTCAATAAATGACATTTTCACTCACGCATGCAAGCATTTAGCATGCTGTGTGGCCTCTTTGTTTACGCCACCTTCTTGTTACACAAACTTGGTAATCATTATATAACAATAGCTGGGATAAGCACTAAGTTGCAATATATCATATCTAAGTTGAAACTAATCATTATTTGGCCTTATCCCAGCTATAATTTACATGATTGTATGTAATATTGTATATTTATGTGTTTTTGTTCACTCTCGTCATTTATCTGGTCAATAAATGACATTTTCACTCAGCTCAAGTTCTCGTGTCTTCACTAGTGTTTCAAGTAACAAGAACAAGCTCCGGAAAGGCTTTTCATATTGTGAGAGTTACTTTTATTAGTGGAAAAAGTTGTGGATATAAATTTTTTTTTGTGCAGCATGCACACATAGTGTCATACATTTAGATACACTTCGAGGCAGCTTTATTAAAATTTATTATTTTTTCTATTCAAACTAAGAAGTATAAAAATGAAAAGATAATTTTAATAACAATAAATAGACACATTTTTTCTTAGAATTTGTGTTTAGGGTCAAATAATTCTATCATTTGTTTTATAGATGTGGAACGTGGTTCTCTTGCTGTTTTGTTTTGCAGTGATAGTGCGTTTTCCGCTGTTTGGAGTTGACTTGATTTTGGTCGTGTAAGTGTTGGTGATGGTTGTGGTGGTTTTATTGTCTCTGCTGCTGCTCCTGGTGGCGGTGGTTGTGGTGTTGTTGGTGACGGTGGTGGTAGTACTTCCGCTGCTTCTACCGGATATTGCTGTGGTGGTGGATTTCCAGATGACTCTGTTGTGTGTGTTTCCATGTCAATAACATGTAAGTATCCTCTGTTCATTACATTAGTTTCTGAACTTCTATTTGCATTCATAAGGATAGAGAGAATAGTTGGCTTTGCTTTCTTTCGGAGAAAAATTTTTGGGATATGATATCTATCGTAATGGCTTTCAGAGTCTGGATAAGTTGGATCACTGTAATTAAAGGAAAGTGGCTCACATTCGTGGTACACGTTTTCCTCAACTCTTGCGTAGCTTTGAACCGCTAAATCGCCAGGGGTGGAACTTTCAGGCATATAATTATTATCTGAATTCGACGACATTTTCCGAAGATCTACATCGATAAAGTATATTACATGTATTTCAGAAATTGAATTGACCTGAATGATATCACCTATACAGTTCAACGCACTTTATAGATGTTAAATATTTATGATTCTATCATAGGTATTTACAAATTAATTAATCGAACTTTCTTTGATACTATTTGGTTGAAATATTCAAATTTACTTCTTATAGATGAGTATTTTTCAAGGTACTTTGCACATTTTCCATACTTGTCTTGAATTTGTCGAAATGCAGCGCCAAAAAATGACAAAACTGCCGAAAGAAATCATGTGAAAGGATAGGATAATAAAGAGTTTTTATCTTTTAACAGAGAAAATTGTAAATATTGAAAAGAAAATTCATTTACATTTATGGTCTGAATCTTTGAAATTTTGAGTTTGAGGGTATCTTTCATGAGGAAGTTAACCTGAATTTATGCCGTCTTTTTAACATGGAAAGCAGTCGAACAGCTGAGAAATACTTCTACCATCTTGCGCCTTAGTGTCATATTATATTGTGCAGAAAAAACAGAAGTTACATGAGCTGCACTGTTTCTGTATTAGGGCAAGGCAAAAGTATGCTTTAAAATGAACGTATACAAAGACGGTTGCATTTGACGAGAAACCATGAGAAAAACATTTTGGAAACTCTCATAATATATCATCCAAGAGCATATAGAAATCCTACCAATTATAACGTGTGAATTATGTTTAAAGTAATGGAATATGATCAAAATTAAGTTACAAATCATTTTTAAAATATATTTTGTTGTCACGTTACACAATTTAGCGTTATAACAATGTGACCTTAATTTGTGCGAAAAACAATGTGAGTTTAAAAAGTGCGTTGAGCTGTACTTTATATTTTTCTCATCATTCATTGTCATGCCAATTTTTATATTTGTTAATTTGGTAACAAAATAATACTTTTTCGCTCGTTCACATTTTCTTTAATTACTGTAAAATCACATTTTTTGTGGGGTCAAATTTTCGATGTTTGAGGGAAAATATTGGATTGTGGGGATTTGATTTCGTTGTTTGAGAATGTTTAGTAGTAATGCATAAGAAACTTTACATTTCGGGGTGGTCATGAGTTTGTGGGTTTCTCCATACCTCGAAAACAACGATTAATAACCCCAACCCCGAAAATGAGTGATTTCGCAGTATCCTATTGAAGGACGTTCGATCCTGAGATTTTGAGCGTAGTTTGGTCAGGTTCTTTATTCATAAAATTCTGCATCATTTTTACGTTCTAACATTAAATCTGAATTATACAATGCAAATTTAACTATATTCAATGAAAAAACAGCGATTAAATTCCATTCAAGTAGAATTAAGACAGGGACTATATTTTGTGGCGGAAGGTTTTTTAGACGAAAATGATCAGTTTTTCCATTTTGAACTATAACAGTACTGTTACTTTTGGAATCCTATTTTTCCTTCCTGGTTGCACAAAAAGCTGTTTTTTTGCAGTTAAATGTGTTGTGCTGAAATATCTATTGAATTATTTGTTATGAATTCTATCAACAAAGTGTGAGAAATATAGTTAATATATTCTGAAAATTGAGCCAATTTTAACGTAAAATGGACACTTTTTTAGTAATATCTGAAAATTTACATCATATACCCCCGCTTTTGATGTTCTTTTCTAAATATTCAAGATAAATTTGGCCTATTTGCTTAAAATCAGAAAAAGTTTAAGACTTTAAAATAATTTTTTGCTTATTAAATTTTCAATGCCAGAAAAATCACTTTTTATTAGTGCAGAAAGGTCAAATAAATGATTATGCGAAGCAATTTAAAACTTTTTCTTAGTCACAATTTTTAAGTGTATTTTTTAAACAAACTTAGAGTTCATTTTGTTTCATGCTTTAATTGGATAAAAATATTGGAGGGAAAACGTCAAAAATATAATTTGTAATTAAGACACAAATTGCAGTGCAAAAAGGTCATATCAAATGTACTGTAGCACCAAAAGAAGCGTATTGACCCCCATTTTTTGATTTGAATTTTAATTAAGCTATGTATGTAGAAACTAAAAATATACTTGGCAAAAAAAGTTTAAGACTTAAAATATCAGGATCGAACGTCGTTAAATCAGATTGTAAAAATCTAGCTCACCTCATCACAAATAGACAAACCACTAATGCAGCAACAAATAAAATTCCAGCCGCTAGAAAAATAGCGATGGAGACAAAGGAAATCCCTAAATCGAAATTTATTTCAGAATTAAACAATGACTTTATTGCAAACAATCAAACAAAATTTGTAACATGTATCAAAGGGGGAATGTTGATTTTTTTTTCCATAATAAAAAATATATTTCAAAACTTTAACGTGGACTAAGCAATTTTTAAAAATATATTTCAAAACTTTAACGTGGACTAAGCAATTTTAAAAACATATATTAAAACAATATTTCACTTGATGTTTTCTGTTGAGGACAGACGCCGGTTATGCTATCACAGTTCTCACAAATACATTCTTCCTTACATCCTCTGCCATAATATCCTTTAGGACAGGGTATCGTACAGTTGTACCCAGTGTTCCCGACACATACTGACAAAAGACAACGGAAGCGATTCCATATTTCAATGTACATGTACATGTATCTTAAATTTAGAGATATCTTGAATTTATCAAAAAAGTATTTGTTATATTCTTGTCATTTGTTAATTTCAATTCGTTATCTTTAATTAAATGATAATTTTAAAAACTTTCAACATCCATCATTGATCTCTATTTTTCCTGTTGCCCATAGAGAACAGTTACCTGATGCTTTTGCTTTGTAAAAGCATTCTCCAGTAGTTGCATTACATCTCTCGCAATGACATTTTTCTTGACATTTCAGACCATAGTACCCTGGTTTGCAAGGTTTGTTACATTCCTTTCCAAAAGCTCCTACACAAGCTTTAAACAAAGAAGGAAGTGATACTGCGTACTTCTTGTAACTTGATATCAATACATAAGTATGACATCATTTTTTGCACTTTCAATACTCTCTATTTCTTGCAAGAGCCAAAACAGTCCAATAAGTTACCTGAAACTGACCAATGTTTTTAAAAATGTGTCAAATATTAAAAAGAAAATGGTAACTTTTTAGATTGTACAAATAACTTATTTGATTAGGAAAACACAAGACAAATAAACACAACTACAGGTGACTCTCGATCTCTAGAAGTTCAAGGGACCGCAAGAAAAGTTCGAGAGATCGAAGGGTTCGAGAGATAGAAAGTAAATAAAATCCGGCAAATTCAGTTTCGATCATCGACCTTCTACTATTATAGATACCGGTAATATAAGTAAATAAAGTCAATTGCCACGATTTCAATCGTATTTAACAGGTAGTTTACTTGATATCAACAGCAATGATAATATTTTGAATAAATAAAATGAATTCCTAAATTAAGTTTTAATATTTATTTGTTTTTATTTCATGATTACATGAACCCGAATATCCGTTTGGCTATTCCGCAGCTTGATCGGGTCCTTCACCAGCGTTCTCCAGATTTTTGTTAATCGGTATTCAGTCCTTGAGAAAGGAATTTCTTCTGCAATACTTCATACTGGGATTATGTAGACTCTAATAAAAGTTCATAGTCTCTGGGAACTTATTGAAACGAACGTCTATTAATTATTTTCTAAAAAATATTGTCTCGGTTTCAAGTTAAAATAAGTTGAGAATTCGTTTATAATTTACCAATAATAACCAATTAATATAATTATATTAACACACGGACGACCCACAGGTGTAGTGTCAGTTATGTAAACACCCAATTAACACCTCCATACTAGCCCCAGGCGTTCACTGTTTTCCCAGGTAAGCCCAAACTGTATCAATTTTACGCTTGATTGGCGTGTATACACGCGCAGTCAAAACTTCGAGAGATAGAAAGTAAAATTCAATGAAATATGCGTAACGGGACCTGGATTTTGGTTCGAGAGATAGAAAACTTAGAGAGATAGAAGTTCGAGAGGTCAGGAGTAAATTTGCTTCGTTATATAGAGGGAAAAAACGGGACCGGAGGTTCACTTCGAGAGATCGGAGTTGGAGCCATCGAGAGTCACCTGTATTTAGTAATAAATTATGTTTAGACAATGAATCTAACATGTTTCATATTGGAATCATACAATATATTCCAAACTGAAACTTTGTAATTATTATTTCAATAAATGATGAAATATACGAGGGATGTCCCAAAAAGTCGTAGACAGGGAACATAGTTTATTTTTTGTCTTTGCTAAATCAAATTTCTTTTCTTGTCATAGCAAAGAGTAACATTTTATGATCATGTATTTTAAGTTTCATGACGATACCACATTTAATAAGAAAACTATGAAAAAATAACGAAACCATGTAAGTGTACATCGGCGCACGAAAGCTAGAGTAATTTACGTCTCTCATAACGTCATGGTCCCTTTTTCTGCTTCACATGAGGCTATTAACATCCAAATGAATATTTTTATAGTGAAAAACCACTCTTGACTAAGGGAATATTTTAATTTCACTACTGTCCGTTTTCTTAAGCAGATTCAAGTTTAAATCAAAATTAGATTAGTTGAAAGATCACCTTACATTTTAGGCAGCAGAGAATACACCTTGTTTGACTACGTTCATGGTCCAGAACGTTCCCAAATGTCTGCGTTAAACAATCAGTAGACTACTTTACATGCAATAACTATTTTTATTTCGATATAGAGGAAAAAATTATCTTTGAATCTCATACTATAAAAAAAACTTTTCTATTAAAATATAGTGTGTAATGTCCTTTCGGTACTCTTTTTCCCCGTCTCTGATGAATATAACACATACCAAAAACAATTTATTACGTTTCCGTGCGCCGGGTACGCGTTTGACGACGTCATTTTAATCAATCTCAATTCGAACAACACTTTGAAAATCATGCCACGAATCGTCTGTTTCTAATGCTCTTTATATGAAAATTTAACATATGATTAAGATTTTGATTCTAGTTTCAGTGATTTAAATTTTAGTTTAATCTTTTACATAGTACCAAAGAAATAAAAACAAATGTAATAGTTATATGCGTAAATTATTCCCAATTTTGGTCGTGCGCCGACATTCCATATCAGCCTTCATATAAATCGTCCCAATACAATTAATATGAAAGATATATATTTAAGAATTCACAGTTTTAAAGAACATTGAATGTATTATGTCTGTGCAAAATTAAGTTAGTATTGGTTGCGTGTTAAAAAAGTTATTAACAGTGTCTACGACTTTTTGGGACAACCCTCGTATATTGCAATTCACAATGAATATCAAGACTTAAATTTGAAGGAAATATCTCTAATTTCTATTGGAATGAAATATGTACGAACAAAACATGATCGGATATTAGTACTTCTCCTGGAAAGAATAACTCCTCCGTATTTCTCAAAAGTACATGTATACTTTGAACAATGCCGCTCATTTTTCTGCAGGACCACATCTATTTTTGTCGCCATCAGGAATGCAAGAGTGTTTGTTACATTTGTTTGTCTACTCATCTCCTGATTCGTTCCTCCACCGACAAAAAGCTTATTAGTATAATATTGTTAATTTTTTTTTTATCACGCAACACCTTGACGTCCTTCAGCATTAAAACATCACTGCTCAGTACTGTGTAACATTCTCTCTGTCAGTTAAAGAACTCAATAACTGCCTGTTTATATGTTTGCTCTGATAAGCCTCTTCTAAATCATCTAGATATTGCTAAATTAATTACGGAAATCTTTCTATGCTGCCTTTGTTTTTCTGCATCCTTCAAATGCCTTGACCAAAAGTTGAGTAATATTTGAAGGAAAAAGGTCCAATTTGAGCTCAAAGTTCATTATCACTTGCTATGCTATGCTCTTCATGTCTGAATTTGTTTGCATCATAAATGTGCTTTCTCCCTCGGAAGAGGACATGCTTTCAACATTCACAATCACAACAAAATGGTGTTGGAATCTCATGCCTTGACTTTAAATGTTTTACAGTCAGTTATTTAAAAATTGCACTTCCCTGTAACTGTCCACTAAGTTAACAATCGCAATGAATGTAAGTTTCTTGTGACAGTAAATAACCTTCACCTGATTCAGTCCAATACGTAAGGCAATGCTTACAAATGCATTTGATGAGAAAAAAGTTCTGATATTACATTATGAACACAACAGGGTAGCTGTTTTAAGTAGATTATAGGCTTCAAACTATCCATTCTGTATGAGTAAAACAATATTGTCGGGCTAACGGCCCCCAACAGTTCTTTCTTATCACAAAATGGCCTATAACCTTTTCTTGATTGCAACGCATCGTTTGATTGAATTAAAAAATCAGTTTACATCCTATAACCTCTGTTGCCGACGTCAAAAAGACTGAGTCGGAAAAAAATTCAAACCACTTGAAGTTACTTTTAAATTTGACCAATTTAGACGTTTTTGAAGTGAGAAGTCCTTTATTTGCTACACATAACTATGAAAAATTTAATGTAATTCAATAAAATTGGTATACAATATATAAAATATATAGATTTCAAAGCGTCAATACTTCTTCAATCATATACCTGGTATCAAAATTCTTTATAAGGAAGTCGTTGGTGATATGCTTAATACGTTTAAAAATGTTTAAATAATTTTTGATCCGATTTTTGTTATTTCCTTATAATTTCATAAATTAGTTTTTAAATTGAAATCATTAGGCATATTAATAATCAAATTAGCAGAGGAGTCTCACTTGAAATTTGATAGAAGAGTCTTCTAATATTAACGAGGATAGAACTCGATAAAAATGATAAAGAGTTCTTGCTTTCTATGTGTCTTAAAACTCTGTTTTGTATACTATTTATATTTGGCAAAAAATATTTACCAAACTGATGATTGTTTGTGACAGAAGGATCCCAATAACAATTTTTGTTTTCATTTTTTAATATATATATTTATTGTCCTTTTTAAAAAATGACAAAATCGCACTTTATATTTTTTGTATTGTTATGTTTTTTAACACATATGCGGTAGAATAGCCAGATCATTTTTAAAAATAAATCCTATTTGAAAGCATGCAAGAGTCATTAATATGCAAATATTTAATTTTAGTATGAAATAAAGACATGCATTAACTGTAGAAGTATTTAATTTTGTGATCTTCTTTTGAAAATCTTTTATAGAAATACAGCTAAATACATTTAATTTTTTTTGCACTGTAATGATAATGCAAATGAAGAATTGCCCCCTTTTCGGGTGGGAGATATCAAGAAAATTAAAATAAAAGAAATTAAAGAAAATTAAATGTATTATGTTTTGTTGTTGAAACGCTTACTATACTGAATCGCACCTGTGAGAACTTTTCTCGTAATAAAAATAACTCAATTCGAAATGATGAGTTCTTTCCTCTTTATAGTGCGGTCTATTCTCGTAAATACGAGGGGTTATCAAAAAGTTCGTGGACTAGCGTCATAAATTTAAAACCGCTTTAAGCATATCAATGAATTTTTAAATATCTAGTAAGCATCATCTTTCCTACCTAATGAATAAACCATAAGTCATAAATTTTATTTGTTAATAAATTAGTGATGTTTTTGTAAGCAATGGTATGTCCAGGCGGCGCAACCTTGAACACGACGTTTTTGCGACCTATGTGTAACTGAGCAAAACTCTTTTGATATGGTCATTTGACATTCAAAAATCCCGTTAAAACAGATATGTGTCTGGACACAATTGTTCCATAAAATACGAAATTTTCACTTCATTCTGGAAGTTCTATGAAATTTTATCGCAAATTTTACACGGAATGTCCAAACAAATGAGGCCTTGAAAATGACGTCAAAAAGGGGGGGGGGTCGTTTCCAACATTCTATAAAGTTTTGCCCCTGAAAAAAACTGGTATAGACCTAAAATATGTTGAAACTGGCTACAGAGAAATAAAATGCATCCAGAGTACTTGTCTTTTAATGTCAAAATAGATTCAGAGAGAAAAGAGATACACAGTTAATGTCGACGTGCAGTCAAGCAGTGAAAAATCAATCACGTTAAAAAATGACGTTGATTATGCGTTGTAGATATTGACCTCCCAAAAGCAAAATATGCCGGCACAATCAAACGCGGATCTCTCCCAATGTATTAATCCATTTGGAATATTATATTCATTGAAGGCCACTGTTCATGACATTGTAAAGTCATATAAACCAGGCGGGTTTAAGTCCTTACTCAGCTCCAGGGTTTCTCATCAAGAAAGTGTATGAGGTAGAAGAAGTAGACAAAAAAAAAAATGACGTTATCGGACGTCATGAAAATAAACGACAACAGCGCCGGGTGATCATATATTGTCGTTTTCATTTTATAATAATTTGGAAAATAATGAAGGTATCAGGCAAAAATTTTCAACATTTCTTTATTTTTTTGTTGTTTTATTTCCCATATAAATTTTGAAAGCACAGACTACATAGTACTAATTTTATAGCCTCAGTCCACGAACTTTTTGATAACCCCTCGTAGTTGGTTTTCAAAAGGTGCTTCATAGTTATATTTTCTACAAGAGAAATATGCTTTATATTTATTTTTCGAATCGCGTTTCGTATTTCGGATTTATACAATAAGATAACTTTTTCTTCAGTTTATAATCGATATCAGTCGTCTGGAGAAAGAACTAATTAAAAGAAAAATGCACTTACGGTAACATTTCCCTCGAAAGGTTCTGTGGGCAGTACAGCATCGCACTTTATGACTAAACTCAAGAGAATTATCGAAATAAACTATTATAATGGGTTAAACTTTTGTGGGGAAACACATAAGCATGTATTGCCAGAATAAGGACCTACCTATGAGGATCGAAGCACTTAGGATCTACAGGTGCTATCTCTGCAAAAATGTTTTCAATCAACAAAGGAGATACCAAGACCACCAGTCTGACACGATCCATGCGCTCAGATTAATGTATTGAAGATTATTTCCTAAACAATTATAGTATTGGAAATTTGCACTTCAATTTCTGATGCAATTAAGCGGAAAAAATTGTACAGTCTAGTTATGTGACATCTATTTTCTCAAAAAAAAATTAAAGACTTAAGGATAAATGATACAAATAATCTTTTTCTTTGGAGGAGACTAAATATTATTTCACAGGTTTAGAAAAGTGGACAATTCTTCGAATAATTTTCTCCTTAGACACGGAAAATGAAATAGAATTGGAAAATATTACTTAATACTTCAATAAAATTAAAATTATGGACAAATCGCACTCAGTAAAGATTTACAGATGAAAACAAATTTAAGTTGAAGACAGCAGTTTTAGAATCATACATATTCTTTCCTCATACAAAATTCACGTAATTAGAATCTGCCGGGTAGTACAACTTAGATCTCTTTACTTGTACAACGTGAATTCTAAAATGACACGTGCCTACACTGTAGGGTTGACAATGATAATGGTATATTAGGTAAAAGCAATTCCCAAAAGCAAAATATCATAACTCTCCGATAAATAAATATTTGTAAACATTTTAGTCTGCATTCAGACGAATTTAACATAATTAAATAAAAATGTTGACGTTTTGTGTATTGGGGTCCAGGAAGGGAAAATCCACCAAATCATACGTCATCTTTGCAAAATGACACACAAAATATTTTTCTGTAGTCCCATCATAATTTGCACTTCAAATGGCAATAATTTTTGTATGTCATAAATACATTTTTATGCTGAGTTTACACTTTTTTGAATACCATGGCGATACGAGAAATGATGGCATGTACCAACGAACCTGTAGAGAAGAACCTTCGCGAGCCCCACGTGAATGTCACCGATATCCCGTTTCTTCTTCATCCAAAGATTATATTAATCTTCCAACTAAATTTTTGTCAGGAAATTTGCTTTTTCAAGCCATATTTTTGGTTTCTTTTCCTTTTTGGTCGAATTTGATAATGTAGCAGGCCTACTGGGCTTTCCTCTCTTACCATGCTGTTTTGTTTATGAGAACTACGCATGCGTGTATAGCATGAATTGTGGAACCTCGAACACGTTGTGATGTACATATTTATGTGCCATAAATAATTATCAATTTTAATGAAATAATAATCAGATTTATTTACTTATAAAACTTGTAATTTTCTTAAAGTGTAAGTATAAAAAAAAAAATTCCAAATCTTATAGAGGGAAATTTTAACCAGTCTGTTTTTGATGAGATGCGCCGTACAGTCACTTTAAGAAAAATATTCCAAGCCAGGTGAATTTTATCTGGAAAAGCAAAATAGTAAAAATCATCCTATGTGATTTTTCTGATTTTTGATCATTTTGTTTTTCCTCATATATACTTATGCAGTATCATAACTGCATGCGGTGATCATATCTCTAAGTTGTTTAGATACGCGAGAGCATGCTCTACATATGAACGATTTTTATAACGAGGTACGTTATTAACTAACAAGTTGCTGAAACAGGAATATCAGCATCTAGTTTAAGGTCATCATTTTGTACGCTCTAGGGTCGATACAATGGCCTTGTCAGCAAATACAATTTTTCATTAAGTCAAATCTGACCGACGTATTTCATACAAATTGTAAGTCCATTATATACACACTGTATTGTCGACGGATTTTTACCGTCATTTCCCGATCAAGACAAGGAGCACAAGGCGGGTGTGAGCGGTCGGCAGGAGATGCTCATTCCTCCCTGACACCTGATCCTACTTCTGATGTTTAGAGATCCTTGTTTGCGCTGCTCCTATAATGTTTTGTTTAATGGGCTATTGATCTTGAATAC